TAATATTAAAATATACATTGTATTTCTTTTACAAATACAGATTATTTCATTTGAAAGATTCAAGCATGAAAAGCTTGATTACAATCATGATGTAAAGCTACATTACATACTTTGCATCTATAAACAGTCTGGCTATGGTACTCTTTACAACAAAGTCTTTTGCTATCAACGGACTTTACCATAAAATGTCTACCATCTCCATGCAGTGGTTTTTGAATGCTGAATTTACTAGGTCTTCCTGTTGCTGATCTATTTCTGGCTAATTCTACACTCTCAATAGGAGTTTGCAAAAGGAATAATGCATTCTTGCGTCTGAAATCTAAAAAGAGACTTTATATTTCCAGTAGTAAAAAGTGGTGATATATTTAGTAAGTTTAGATACGGTCTCACCTCATAATTTATCAGTATTGTCAATTTGACTATTGTCAAATGCAAATTCTGCTTAATATTCCTGTACTGCAAACATGATATCAATTCTTGTACAAAAGGAACAGAAATGTCCTTATCAAAAGACCAATACATTTTTTCTTGGGGTAAAGAATGATATCTTGTAAGCAATAATTTTCCAATAAATCTTCTCCTATAGGCTTCAGATGCAATAAATTCTACGTTTTTTTTTTTTTTTTTTTTCTGAGCATATATATTTGTCTGTTCAACGAGAAGAGAGTAAATGTCTAAACCAAAAAGAAAATCAAAAATCTGTGCACTAGTTTTACCTTGTGTTTTGTCTTTTATAATTTCTCTTCTATCTCTTTCTTCATGTCTTCCTGAGACATAACTAACAGTTCCTTTTTTATCCACTTCAAGATTTCAGTCTTCTGCTTTTTAAACTTTTTAGTATGACTATAAATGCATTTAGAAGGCTGAAACTTACTTCTTACGTGAATTCAACTTCCGCAGCAGTAACATTTGGTAAAATATCATTATCATTATTTAAAACATTGCCATTCCTTTCTTCTTCGTCACTAGTCTCTGCAATTTCTGGGGGAACATCAACATTATCAGTTTCATTCTGGTCATTATTAACATTATCATCATCTGTTTTTTCATCAAAAAGTCTTTGAAGGGCTTATTCTAATGCAAGATACCTCGTTCTAGGCATTTTTAAACAACCAGAACATGAACCAGAACATCGAAAGGAATGAGTGGAAAAGGAGATTGACTACCCGTTTCCTGCTGACGTTGCGTCAACGCAACACTTGTGTTTCCTTCCTTCCCAACACAATAAACATCTGACTGATGTAATGTTCTGATAAAGGGTGACCTTGAGTAAAAATAGATCACTCATAAAGACGGCGATTCTTTCGTTAAATATATTCAGCAAAAAAACCCGGTCGAAAATTTTGCTTAAATTTTGCTTAAAATATGAGATTAATTATTATAAACAAAATGATTGTTGAAGGCAAATATTTTTTTACGGAAATAATCTTCATACTATTCCCTACACAAAATCATCTGCTGGTATAAATTATCTTAGGTAGTTACATTTATATACGCATTTATTTTGACCATTGCGTCAATGCAACACCAGCGGCTAATGGGTTAACAGAATCTTGCCCAGCTTCCATCTTTCCTTTAACAGATTCCTGTCCCGCTGTAATCTCTTCTTTAAACGATGCTTGGCCAGCTTCCATCTTTTCTTGGAATACAGCAAAAGTAGTGATGAGCTGTCTTAATTGTTTATCCATCGCTCTTGGCATTCAAATCCCAGTTCTGACAACAAAAAGTGCTGCGTGTGTACGGGTTCATAATAGATCGAATACACAAGTCAATAAAAAGTTCATAAAATTATTCTTATTTGAAGAAACAATAAAACAAAATGCTGAAATTTTCTCAGAGATATTCGTACAATATCTCAATATCTCACAGTAGTTATATTTTGAACTACTAAAACGTTAAATAGAACTCAATTCAAACTACAGAGAAAGCTTTTCTAATCTCACCGCAAATTCGTTACAATCAACAGCAAAAACTTAGTAAACAACTGAACTGAGATGTTTTAATTTGGCCTTTAATAAGCTTTTTAATCATGCAGGAGAATGTTCTGGTAATTTTTATTTCTCGAGTTTTTTGGAAAGCAAAAGCAGTTACAAGGTATCTATTTATTAAATGTTAAATGCTTGTGCTCCTACTTTTTTACTTTGTCAGCATAACTTTCTCTTAAAAACTCGTTGTGCGCATTATACATGGGGAAATGAAACAATTGAATTACCATTCTACTAAAAATAGCAAACTAAATACAAAAAACTGTAACAATATTAATTTATAATAGAAAATACTTTTTCACTTTGTTTATTTAAAAGCAATTAAATTATTGAAAGACTGTGGGATCATTGAAAGTTTGCTAAATATATGTATTCATTTCAGCTATTTCAAATGCTATTATCATTTTTTAAATCACTGTTTCTCATGCTTTTCAGTATCATGACTCAATTTTCAAAATGGTTATTAAAAATGACCCACATACATTTAATTTCTCTGATTTATTTTTCTGGGATATGGCATAAAGTATTTTTTAAGTTAAATAAAATGTTATCACATGCAACAAGTACACAGCTTATTAGAATTTAAATTAATGTTTCTGCTTAATAATATATTGAAATTGCTTTGTAATATAGTACTTTGAAATGAAAATGATTCCTAATTGTTTGTTAGTATTAAGTTAATCTGGAAGTTAATTTTTTTTTGATAAAGAAGTGTTATTTTTTTAATTTGAATTCTTTAGACACAAGTTAAGATTGCTTTATTTATATTCTGGAATTGTTTTGTAAAATTTCTGTTTGTATTTGCCTGAAAAAGTATTTTTACTTGCATATTTCATTAAGATGCAAAAAGTTATACAGAATTCTTTGTAGTCCTATAAAATTTTTGAACAACTATTGGATTGCTTGGTAAGTTTATACCATCTTAGCAGGATGAAAGAAATTTTTTTTGGGGGGGGGGGTTACGATCATTGTGAAAAGTAGGTATCATCTGTGCTAGAAACCATCTGTCAAATTCAGGTAGATTTAAGATTTTTAAACTGTGTTACAATAGTAGCACAGCAATTTGCCAGCCACCTACTTGCATTAAGTGCCCACCAGTGGCCAAGCGGCTAATACCACATGACACTAGTTCAACCCGGTTTTGAATCTCATTGAACTGGCTAACTGCATGGCTGTTTTCATGATTTTCCCTGTATATAGTGTGAAAATATATTTGCCAGAAGTTTTGTAAATTTTATCAGTTTATGCATGAAATTCATGTTTTATGAATTGAGAAAGTACCAAAAATTGGGCCAAATCTGCATTTTTTAAACACAGTCTTTACTGTTTCACTTTGCCATCTGTATTACATCAGAAACAAATTCTCCCCTTTTTTAAATTATGAATTCGAAAGTTGCACATCTTTAAATCTGGCAAAATTACATGATTTTCCAGTCAGTTTGACTACAAAAATTTTGATTCCGTGTTTTGAAAATATAAATATAATAAAGTTGTTAGGATATGATTCAAGTAAAGATAATATATTAAAATTGCATTTTTTAAAGGTGAAACAAAAATAAATCATCTTTGTCATGTTTTAAAATGTCTTTTATGTTGGCAATGTGTGAATGTGTTGATTCTGAAATATAAACAAGATAATAAACGTTATAAAGCAAAGCTTTGGAATTATTTTTTATCAAAAGAAAAAGGCTGTATAATTATATTAAAATTAATTGTATCTCTGTAATTTTCTTTTTTTTTTTCTGACAAAAATTTTACACTGTGTATTTGTTTCAAAATACTTAGATATATATAAATTTTGTCTGTAAAGCTCACAATTTCTTCATCCTTTCTTCCCCTAAAAAGCATTCTGTTTTTTAACAAACATTCGCATTCAATTTTTTTTTATGATGCATGTCACTTAAAAGTGCAAACTTGTATCCAAAAAATGTGCCAGTCTTCTTAGTGCAAGGCCCGGCTAGGCGGCAGATGGGAGAAAACTTGCTAGCCCGATTCTAATAAATTCTAGGGGTTTGTGACATACAGTTTGTACGAATCAAATAAGATAGTGGTGTGAGTGCATTTCACTAAGCTTCTCAGTGAGATGCCCTGCTGCTAACTTTACAGTTTAACAGCAATACTGGTACAGCTAGTATGCACAGCTCATTACAAATTGTAGCACAGAAATTCCACCAAACACACAGCATCATTTGATGCAAGAGAATTCTTATTTCATCAGAAGCCTAGGTGAATTCAAACTTCTTTATCCACGTTCACATGGGATTCACAGTGATTATCATTCTTTATGCACTTGCATAATTCTTTTTATGTACTGGTATGATAAAATCAAGCCAGATTTCTGTGTGATGATAAATGGCTGAGATTTCCTTATGCAGAGTCTCAGTATTAAGGTTTTCCCACTGGTGAAGCTTTCTTCTCAGGCCATATACTCATAATTGGTCTATCACAGAGGCTTGTCTGTCTTTAAGATCTCTGCAGATGCATGCACACGTTTTATATGCACTCCTTAAATCTCTTCACTGTAATCCATAGGCAAGAGATCTCTGTAACATAACTGATCTTTAGTGCTGAGGTTGCAATCATGGCTGTAGGAAAATTAATTATGTTTTCTCACAGTATCTCATTGATTGCAGTACTATGGTGTGTTTCTCAAGTGCATTGAACCTTAGAACAGAAAGCAGCAAGCTCAGGTCTTATGTAACTCTACCACTGATATTTAGAAAAATTGTGTTATACCAGTTTTTTACTGATATCTGAGGTAACCAAAACTCTCCTGGCAATTCAGTGTTATTCCTATGTCAGTAATATCACACTTAAATGTGAACTCCATTGAAAATTATTTATGTTATTTATGGCCATATTGTACAAATTTCTTTCATTCTACTACTATAATAATTTTTTTTAACATAATTGTTTTTTTTTTTATTGAAATAAATTATTTTGCTGTCTTATTGATGAATTCTCTTTAAACTCCTGTTATTTGAGATATTAATTTTCCTTCTCCTATTATATTAGCGGTTTTGTACAAATTGAAGCAAGTTACCTCTATGCTGTTAAAGAATGTTAACTATGCTGTAAGTAAATTCTTGCTATTTAATGTGAGAATAATAATGCTTTCTGAGATTATGTTAATAAATACTTATACATTTTCATTTAAATAGTAAATAACAATGTTTTAAAAGTTTGTGTCTATTTTATTCATTAAAAACCAAAACATGGGATGACATAATTTGTACAACTGAAATTTGAATGTTAGATTTGAAGAGAGGGACAGAAAAGGGCAGAACAACACATATTTCATTTTAGTGTATATAATTTTAATATATAGTCAGCATTCTAGTATTAACAAAGTGTAATAAGGACATGTGTACTGCATTATATTATTATATTTTATTTGTTGGCATAACTAATTGCAGAAGTTTGACATCTTGCCAAAAATGCAAGATTGTAGCAATTAAAAAATTTTAGATTAAGTTTGCTCATTTTTTCCAGCCATTGCATTATTTTGTTTTTTTTTATTTTGAGGATATATAATCTTAAAATTTTTTGACTCCCAAAAAATAAAATATGGTAATCAAAAAAGCTTGGAGTTTTAGGTGCTGGTTTTTCCATATAGGGAAGAAAGAAAGCGTTGAAAATAGGTTCGAGTATAAACATATGAATAATTTTAAAATTGAAGCATTAAAACACAACATTTAAACACAACAGAACACAACATAAAATACAACAGATTTATAGACATACATTCAGTCTTCATGTGAAGAGATCTTGCATAAATTTATTTGCTGCATTAGTTCCTTCATTAAAAAAAGGAATAGTTTATGCTTATTTATATATTGATAAATCAAAAGCTTAGCCATTTATAGGTTAGAAAATATTTATATAAGAGAAATTATTTCTCCTTGCCATGGACATAAACTAGGAAAAACTAAAAATCCTATTTTCTTTAATGGTAAGTCCGTCCCCATTTACAATTTTGTAATATGTCAGAGTTTGGCAAAACACTGCTCCAGCTTGCTAGCATCAAACTTGTGAGATCCTTTCTTACTTTATTTTTTACGAATATCTTTTTTTTTTTTTTTTTTTTTTTTTTTTTAAGTTGTTAAAATAGTGCTGGTAGTTCTCCTTCCTGTCATTGCTTTATCAGTGCTTACTGGGTTTGCCTAGAGATAGCTTCAGTATATGTATTTATAGTGTAATTCTTAGTTCTCTCTAGGGTTTCAAAAGTTTATAATACACTAATTATTACAAATATAGCAAAAAGTTGCACTTCAGTACATAAAAAAAAATCTTAATGTTTGCACTCAAAGTTAGGCTCCATCATTAGTGGCATGCCATCAGTAGACTAGAGGTATTAGGCTAGCCCCCTAATATTTTAGGTATTAACTTTAAGTAAATATTTACCTAACATTCAGGAGCAGTAAAATAATTATAATTTTATTTCTAGATAATGTGAACTGTTCGAATGCACTCACATATTACTAGATCAGTGTGATTCACAAGTTCATGCTTCGAGTTCACAATTGCATACTTGAATCTGAAACCCTTGGGCTATGCCAGATATCTCCAAGAAAGTCACCTAATCTCATAGCTACCTGTGTTGTTAACTACTGATAGTAGATCATAAGCAGTTTTAATTTTTCTCGTGATTCTTATCAACAAACTTTTACTTTTTGTATTGTGTATATCTTATGGGATATTGTGTTAACAAAAGAAGCAAGAAATATTGTTAAAGATAAATATACATTCTGTTCTCATTTCTACAAAAATGAAACATTAAATCTATCATTCCAAAATGGAATATTATACAATTTCAAAATGGGTAATTGAAATGCAAACTGATATTTTAAAAAGTCCGAGATCTAGAATCATTGAGACTTTGACAACTCTGGATTTTGGATATCTTCTTCAGTTGCACTACAGCCTATTACAGGCGAAGGCCATCTCAGCAAGCTTCCTGCTTCCTCTAACAGATCTGATCAGCTGCTATGGTCCGCCAATGATTAATTTTTAAAGTCTTGAGATCAGCTTCCGCACAGTCTATCATCTTGTGCGAGGTCTTCCTTTTTTCCTGGTACCCTTTACACTTGCAAAGGTCACCTTTTTAGCAGGGTTCAAGTTATCACATCTAAAAGTATATCCAAGCCACCTAATATGATAAGATTTGATGACTCGGACAATATTGGGTTGTTCGTATCTTCTATAAATTTCATGGTTAAATGAAATTCTTTAAAAAATTAAATTCTTTTCTCTAACTGGACCATGTCTTTGTTCATCTCGCCAGCATTCACTACCGTACAATATGCGAGGTCTAATAAGAGTTCTATAAAGATTTATTTTTGTCTTGAAGTTTGATAATTTAGATAGTAAATTCTTTAAACCATGATAGCATTTATTAGCTCTAAATAATCTAATATCAATTTCAAGTTCAGTATTTTTATTGTTAGTGATGATAGTACCGAGATATATGTAAACTGAATAATGCCCTTGAAAGTATAAGAATTTATTTGCAGGGGGGTAGGGGATTATGTGTTCTTGTAACTACTGCCATAAATTTTGATTTACCCTCACTAATGTTTAGTCCAATGTCTCTGCTGACTCTAGAGAAATACAAGTCTCCATTACCACCTGTTAATTTCTGCAAATAATGTCAATGTCATCAGTGTACACTAGTAACTGTATAGATCTCTGAAAAATGGTGCCTCTAATATATATTTATATAATATATTATATATTTATATAAAATTTCTCTAATTTTGGCATCTCTAGCCTTGTAACTCTCCAATTTACTCTCCGCGAAGTCATTCGTCAATCATTCAACTAATTTTCTAGGAAGTCTGAATTTCAGCATAGCTTCAAATAGCTTTTCATGGTATATGCTTTCATAAGTAGCTCTAAAATCAATAAAAAGGTGAAAGGTATCAATATTATGTTCAAAGTTTTTTTTCCAAAATTTGTCTAACAAAGTGAAGTTGATGAATAGTAGATTTTGTAGCTTGAAATCTGAATTGGTAACTGCCAATAGCTGTAGATGCATATGGTAATAACCTGTTATTTAAAATAAGGAAGAAGATTTTTAAATGCGACATTTAAGAGGGTGGTGCATTGATAGTTATGACATTCCAGACTGTCTGCTTTTTTAAAAATGGGACACAGGAAGCCCTCTTACCATTCAGTGGGCATCTGCTCCATAGTCCAAACATTAGGTATACCTTATGAATAGCATCAAAATCAGTTCAGGTAGGGCAATATTAATAAGTTCTGCCTTAATACCATCTGGTCCTGCAGCCTTGTTTATTATTTAGATTCTCAATAACTTAATTCCTTACTTCATGCAGGGATCGTGCATCAAGCTCCAGATTTTGATCATTTTCAGAAACATTCAGGTCGGTAGTTCGATGAACATCCTCCCCCCCAATGAAAGATTACTTCTGCAGAAGAATTCTTTCCACCTTTTCAACACTCCAACTTGATTACTTGTAGAGCACTGATTTTCTGGTAAAATTTTCTCTATTCTTTTTATGTTTTTAATTTTTCAATCTCACTAAATTGTTACCCCATATATGCTTTCTTCTTCATGAGAAACAATCTTTTTTCTTGTCTTTTCAACTCTTTATAATTATTTTCTACTCCTGTAGTATAGTGTTTTTGTATCATAAATTTAAAAGCTTTCTTGTTTTTCTCCTCAGTAATTTTGCCCAATCCCAATCCTATTCCCAAGTTTTTTGGAATCGATTTTTGGTCCTTAAAAGTCCTTAATTTCAGCCAAAATCGGCAGAAGATCCTTAATTTTAATAATCTGAAATTTCTGTCTGATTTTACGACTGCCATTTTGAGTGTGAATTAGCATTTTGCAGCAATATTTTTGGAGATTCACTGACAAATATGGTTATTTTTTGAATGGGTTGATGGGTTCTAATTTGTTCCTATTTGTAATATAACTGGGAGGATATTCGAGTTTCTGAGCAAGAAGTGAAATATAAGCATTTTGAGATTATTTCTTTTTTTGTAATGAAGAGAACTTTCCGCTTTTGGGGATGTGAATTCTTTTATTAAATGGTTCTAAATTTGGCGACTTATCAACATTTTTGTGATTTTAAGATAGGTTTGTATAGAAAATCTTTAATTCCCAAGTCTGGGAAATTTTTGGCGACTTTTATAGAACATTCTAACACTGATAAATTTCATTAAAATAATGGTAATGTATTGGAATTTTATTTAAAAAATAACATTAAAATAAAGCATTTTTATTTTTCACTCTCATATTATAAAGTTCCATTTTGGCCACATATTATACAATGTTTTGAATCTCAAAAATAAGAAAGGTATAATGCTATAAAGCACAATTTACGAAACAGTTTTTAGCGAAAGCAAAATAGCTATGTAATGAATTAAAAACGTCTTTTTAACTTTTTCATGGTAAGAGTTTTTCCCATTTCTCAAAATGTTCAGAATTCTCGGAATATGCATCAGTTTTCTCTTTCTGTACTTTTCACTAGACACAAGCATAGAAAATATCAAAAATGCTTCTAATCTTATACAGTATAGAAAAGAATTTTTTTATTAATAAAGATATTGAAAACTGACAATTCAAAAGATTCATCTAATATGTCTTAATGCATCATACACAGGGCTGGCACTATTCATTTTGCCACCCGATGCAGTCTCTGTGTATCCTAGATTCTGCTGCCTGGTGCCTTTCTAAATTCTGCTTCCAATGCCTGCTCTAAATTCTAAAAGTTTTACTATTTCTAGATTTTGTTGCTCGGTGTGTTACTAAATTCTAAAAATTTTGCCACAGCAGCTATGTGACTGGACCTTACCATATGTATTTCATATTTCTTCTGAATGTTTGTATTACTAAAGAAATAAAATTAGCAGCTTTTTCCATACATTCTAAATGCATTTTGTCTTTTGGAATAAGAGAAATCTTTAAATCCAAAAACTCTAAAGTGTTTTGTTGTTGTTAAACATACAACATGTTTAACAAACATGTTGAAGAAACAAACTAAATATGTAAAGAGAAAGAAAATTATTCTTCAGAGATATGTAGTTATTATTATATAAATTACCC